GCACAGTGAGCCCACGCGGGCCGCATGCGGCCCCCGGGCCGCATGTTGTGCAGGCCTGATCTAGAGTTAACTAGTATGAACAGATGAACACGACTGCTCAAGAGCAGACAAAGTATGACCATACACACTCAAGTGAAGGGACTGAAGGTCTGGGTTAAAAATCCTGCCCCTCCACCCCCTGGGACACGAGGTCTGGAGACAGAGGAAGGTATATGAAGACTCCACTGGACAGTTGAAAGAGATCAGTAAACCACTGCTGATGTTGCCAAGATTGGGCAATGAGTATTATCTTGCCTTATCCTAACCCCTCTCTATCACCTTCTGTATGAAGGGAAAAATAAATATATGAGACCCCTCGCCCAGCGCAGCAGGAAAGCATCTGACACACAGACTGTTCCTACCCACTCTAGAATAGGAACAACGACATGTTATTTGGAACCTAGTTGCAAATAGGGTCAACCCAACTGTAGACCTATCTGGAAAATAGGGTCAACCACCTAATCTTTTAGGGACCTCATGTGCATCTGAGAGCAGTCTCTGTTGAGACTATCCACAACTACGTTGCTTTCCCCAGCCAAATGTAGTGCCACAGGACACATTTCATGGCAGATACACCAATCCCACAGATTTATCACCTCTGCAAACAAGGGGGCAGAGTGATCACCCACTGTTTGTTAATATAACAACATGTCTGCAAAGTATCTGTTACTATCTGCACAACCTTTCCTGGCAGCTGATGGAGGAATGCTCTTAGAGCCAGATGAACTGTTCTTAGTTCCACTATGTTGATGTGCAATGTTCTTTCCTGAGAAGACCAATGTCCTCAAACTGTTTAAATGATTCAAGCATACCCCCCAACCATTGGGTGGGGCATCTGAAATCACTGTCCGAGATGGACCCGAAGAACTGAACTGCATACTTCAGAGCATGTTTGTCCTGCTTGCCCACCAGTCCAGAGAGACTATGATGTACTGAAGTATAGTGATCAACAGCTAAAGGCTGTCTCAACTTCGACTGTAAGCCTGGGACCTGCCTCAGAGGTCTCATTTTTAAATTGGCAAACAAAGTCACATAGGTAGTGGCTGCCATAAAACCCATGAGACTCAGGAAGAACCTCACCCTCTATGTGGGGCAACTTCAAATTCTTAACAGACACTACCGCATTTTGAGAGACCTGTCATCAGGTACAAAAAACTCTCGTTACCACTGAGTCTGATATGACACCTATGAAAAGGATCCTTTGTGTAGGACAGAGGATTGACTTTTGGATGCTGAGAAGAAAAGATTGGTCGTGGTAACTATGTGACAAGTCCTCACACACAGCGACTTTTGATAGCCAATCGTTCATATAAGGGCAAACAAATATACCCTGCTTCCTCAGATACACCACCACCACAGAGAGGCACTTTGTAAATACCCTGGGTGCTGCAGAAAGGCAAAATGGAAGCACCTTGTACTGGAAATGGCTCCCAGCTACCACAAATCAAAGGTACTTTTGATGTTTCTGAAACTGCAATATGAAAATTAGTGTCCTTTAGATTGCGAGTTGGGAACCAATGCAGGACGGATAGCAAGGGATTACTGAAGACAAGGTCAGCGTATGGAAATGAAATTTCCATATGTGTTTGTTCAATTCCATCAAATCTAATATCAATCAGAACCCTCCCCATCCTTCTTTAGTACCCAAAAATATCAGGAGTAAAAACCATGACCCTTTAGGTAAGCAAGAATCTCCTTAACTGCTCCTAACAAAGCAACTTCTCAACTTCTGTGAGAATTGCCTCATGAGAGTGGTCCCTGAAGAGGGACAGATGGGGGAGTTTGAGGAAGGCAGCATTTTTTAATTGAATGCCATAGCCTTTTCTTGTGATCTCTAAAATCCACTGGTTTGATGTTGTCTGCCTCCATTTGTGGATGAAAAGGGGTACAGCCTGTCTCCAAAGGAGGGGGTAGAAAAAAGGTAGTTGGCTAGTCCTAGACTCTCAGGAATCACGTCAAAACTGAGGCTTGGTGTTCCGGAAAGAGGGGGCTGACAGGGAAGTGGGCTATTTGGGTTTGGAACCTTGTTTGAAAGGTCTCTTTCTGTAACCATTCTATGAGGCTTGTTGTTGGTAACTTGAGTCTCTGACTGGATGAAAAGTAGGGTGCTGAAGGCTGGGAGCATTGCTGCCTCTGCTACTGAAAGAAGGGCCAGGCCTCCTTTCAATGGGTGGGATTAACCCCCGAGACTGAGCTGTCGAACTTGCATCCTTCAGTATTTCTAGTAAGTTGCGAGTCTTTACACTGAAAAGACCTTCCCCTTCAAAAGGGAGATCGTCGAAGCTTACTTCTGGTGTCCATAATTATACAAGAGGATCAAAGCCATGCACGCATCCTGATAGTCACAGCAGACCCAATCCTTTGGCAGCAGTCTGAGGCACTGAAGGAAGCTCTGAGGGAATACCTGGCTACATTCTGACCCTCCAATAAGATGGCATTAACCAACCTTCTCCTGTCTTCAGGTACGTCCTGGAGAAGACAACATTCTCCCACAGAAGGAACTGGTCACAAGACATAACTGCATGATAATTCACCATCCTAATACCGAGGGATGAGGCGAACACCTTTCTCCCCAATGAGTTCATCTTCTTTCCCCTCTGTCACTCAAGGTGAAGTGTAGTTGTTCCAACCTCGCCCTGTTGCTGGCAGCAACTATTACCAGCAAGTTGTGCATAGGGTGGATATGAAAATACGAGAACCCATCAGAGGGTATCTGGTATAATTTGTCCGCCTTCTTTAAGATAGGTAGACAAGAGGTGGGATTGGATCACACAAATCTGGCTGACTACAAAAACCCCGCCAGGATGGGGAGTGATATCTGACTCTTGGCAGAGGTACCGAGATTATAAAATACCAGATATGAAGTCTCTTCCACTGGTACCACAAGGAGATTCAGAGTGGACAACGTGCAATTCACCAAGTCCTGAAATTGGAGTGTCCTCAGGAGGACGAAGTCACTCCCACGTTCATCCGGTGATAAGTCAGGCTTGAAGTCAGTTTCTAAATGCTTCTGTTGAAAGAAAAGGGTTTTCTCTTCATCATCATCATCGTCCTCAGACAGGGCATCAGGTATCACCGTCTGCAGTGTCAACGGATCCAGGGGAATCAGATCACAGGATCTCTGGGCTTTCAGATTCCTTGCAGATGAAACGTCGCTTCCACATCCACAAGAAGAGTAACTAAAGAGGTCTTGGCATGGTCATCAATAAAACCCTGGTCCCTGATACCCAGGGTTTTCAGAACCCAAAGCAGTGGTAACTTAAACTGTTTCACTCCACGGGCTATCAGGAATAAATCAATGTGAACACAGCAATTCTGTCTGATGAAAGGTTAATACAAGTAAGCGTGCACTTATCTAAAAGTGCAATTTATTAGATATAAGCGCACATAGACATAAGCAGTATGTTTAGAACAATCCAAATAATTACCTAGAATCTGAGATGGTATAATTTTCAGCAGGTCAGCAATGGCCCGTTGCTTCCCCACTGGGGAGTTTGGTATCAGAAAAAAGTCTCTCAGAATAGCTTCAGAGAATTGCCCCCAAGTACACTCTATTATATAGTCTTTTTACTAGACTAACTTTTACAAAACACACAGCTCATAGTGACCCCCTACTGAGTCATCACCTCTCCTTACTTCAATAAACTACTTAAACATTAATTAGTCATAATAAGGTTCTATATCTAAGGTGCACAAATTCAAGATTCTCATCCACTTATTTTCTTTCAGTCTCAATTTGTTGACTCTTTCTCCCTCTCCTTCCATTCTGATTAGCAGAAACTGCAAGACTCTGGTTGTGTTTGACCTTTCCTCCAGAAGCCCTGCTTGTTCAAATTAACCCTTAACTATGTGGTGTTCTATTTTATTAATTCATGGTGGCTGAATGCACACAATATGATCGCAATTAGCTTGATCAAAATCTGGGGTATACACACCCCTCTAACACAGGGCAATAGCTCCAAGACTGCCAGTTTCCCTAACCACTGGGGGCCGGAAACATGCCAACAGGAGAAGGACCTAAGGATAGTCCAAACCTCAATACAGGTCTCTGTATTCTTCCTTTATCCTCCTCATGGAGAAGGTCCGGGTCTAGATCTGAGAAAGAATGTATCACAGATAGTAACAGATCTGGAGGGAGGAATGGGAATCCAGTCCTTTGTGGTAGACTTTGATGGAGACCTCAGAGGAGGGATCAGAAGATGATCCAAGAGAGGACCAACAACGGGATTTGTTTTCTTCCCAACTAGACACGAAGATGACAACCCTGGAACTGAGGATACACATCTCCTTTTATGACCTGTGCACTTCACACCTGGATCCAGGACATATATCGAACCTGAAAGGCAGACTTAGGTCGTTATAGTGACAGAACTTTCCAGAACTGAGAAAGTAGCCAGAACCGAAACAGAAATTGGGTCAGAGAATAACAGTGGATCTGAAGATACACATGGGTTTGTCTCTCTTGTTACTGAAGCTAGAGGTGGAACAGAACCCTGCTTTGGAATTGTGGCAGCTTTACCAGAATCAGACATGAGCCATAGTTCTGATGCACAGGAACTGGCAATGCTAGAGTTGGCCATCTTGCTTCTATGCTGCTTCTTCCTCGGTGTCTCAAAATCCAAAACTCAAGGCAATGACTACCCTCATTCAGAGACTGCCACAGGGATTAGATCAAAGTCCGACTGCTGTGAGGCACGAGGTATAGCATGAACGAGAGCAGCCGAACTGTTCCTTAACCTTTCCTACAGAACCGGGTGGTGGGATCTGACCAGACAGCCATCAGTTTTGACATTATCACCTTGGGAGTTTGACTGGGGGAGCCACAGGAACTGATCCAGTCCCAGCAGGGGCTGCGGCTTCTTGGAACCCTGCAGTCGAGCGGAACAGACTGAGGCCACCGGGGCCAAGGCTGGCTCTTCAGACGTTTGAACCGAAGTCAGAACAGATTCAGAGGGTTTAGCCTCAAGGGCTTCCTTAAGTAGTAGTAGCTGTAGGCGAGTCTTCCTGTCTTTGCGAGCTCTGGGGAGAAGTGGGGTGAAACTCTGGCATCCATGAAGAGGTTTAAGAAAGTAATATTTAAAGTTAACAGTCCAATGAAGTTAATACATGCAAAAAAGTTCACACTTCTCAATCATTGTTTCACGATATCTGTGAACATCGCTGCACTGGTTTACATTTGCAAGGTTTTCTTTGCAATCATGGGGTTAGGAATTGACTATTTTTCAAATGAAAGGTTACATTCTATAGAATATGAATGTCCTATGGTTCACAAATAAAAAACAGGTCAGATTCAATTCATGGCCAAACATTTGACAGCCCTGCCCATGAATCTCAAGGAAACTGTAATTTTTTTTTTAAAAAACACCCATTAGATGTAACTAACTTCAAGCAACACAAAATGATACTAGTATGAGATAAGCAGTTCCAGTTTCAGTAACAAACAAAAAGACCTAGGAATTAAGAATACAGACAACATGAATCTTTTCATTGATGTTTTCTTATGATAGGACATAGATATCTAGGCACATGGCAAGGCTAATTTGTGTCAACAGTTCTGGACTAGCTCCAAGAGCTCGGATCTATGAAGCCAACTTCATGAATGACAGTCATATTATGGTACAAGTTCTGTACCAAAAGAGAAAAATGATAAGACAAACATTAAGTCACTTAAGTTTTATGAAGGATAACTTACAGGATATTGATCCAAATCAACAGGTTGTCTAAAAGGCTCAGAATCTTCACATTGGAAAATTAAATTCACCAGTTCCATACATTGTTTCTTCCAGGTATTTTCATCATAGTTAATTTTCACGTTGTTTCGTCTCTTCATAACCCGTCTCTTTAAAAAAAAAAAATTTACTCCCAGAAAAAAACAAGTTATAAAAATAATTCCAATTAGAATTTTAAACACACATTGCAGAAACTGCTAGATAAACTTCGAGAGTATCTTAGTAAAGAAACAGAGAAAATTACTAGCAAAAAAAATGGAAAAAGCATTCTACTTTTTGCATTTTTTGTAATTCCTTCTCTTCAATTTTTTATAAGTGTTGAGTAAGAATTTTCTCCCCTTCAACCTAGCTTTTCTTATTGGCTGGCCTACAGGATCAAACATACTATTATATTTAAGTGTGACAGGGATGCAAAGGGGCTCTCTTTCTTGACCTCTGAAAATTCCTTTAGGAAAACTATACCTAGTGATCAAAAGGGTTAAACCCACATCTTGTGTTTTTTCTAGTTGTTTTCTTGCAGAAAACACTGTCCTGTGTCCCTTAAGTATAAACCTTGAAGAAAAGACCTAAGACTTTGTTTCCTGAATAATTCCAACGGTTTACACATTAGGTTCATATACTCAGACTTTAAGGTCAGAAGGGTCCATCATGATTAAGGCTAAGATTTTGTCACAGACATTTTTGGTAAAAGTCATGGACAGGTCACACGCAATAAAGAAAAATTCACGGAAGCCGTGACCTGTCCATGACTTTTACTAAAAATATCTGTGACAAAATGGGGATCAGCGGGTCCCCACACTGCCTGCAGCAGGGCAGCTGCACAGCAGCTGGGGGCCGCCAGGGCTCCACCACCACCTTCTGGGGCCGCTGGGGCTCTGGGGGCCACCAGAGGCGGCGGGGATACCCTGCAGCTCCCCACTGCTGCAGGCTGAAATCATGAAGGTCACTGGAAGTCACGGATTCAGTGACTTCCATGACCTCCATGATTAAATCATAGCTTTAATCATGATCATCTAATCTAACCTCCTGTACACTGCAGCCCACAGATCCTCACCCAACCACTCCTATAATAGGCGCTTAATGTTTGGCTGAGTTACTGAAGGTCTCAAATCTTGATTTAAAGACTTCAAGTTACTGAAAATCCACTATTTACCCTAGTTCAAACCAGCAAGCGACCTGTACCCCATGCTGCAAAGGAAGGTGAAAAACCCGCACAGTCTCTGCAAATCTGACCTAAGGGAAAATTCCTTCCTAACCCCAAATATGTTCATCGGTTACACCCTGAACATGTGAGACCCACCAGCCAGACACCTGGGAAAGAATTCTCTGTAGTAACTGAGAGCCCTCCTCAGCTTGTGTCCTATCTCCAGCTGTTGGAGATATCTGCTAGTAGCAGTTGCAGATGGGCCATACACCATTTAGGCAACCTCATCATACCACCTCCTCCATGAACTTATAAAGCTCAGTCTTCAAACAAGTTAGGTTTTTTACCTGCCAGTACTGCCTTGGAAGGCTATTGCAGAACTTCACTCCTCCAATGGTTAGAAACTCTCGCCTAATTTCGAGCCTAAACTTGTTGATGGCCAGTTCATAGCCATTTGCTCTTGTACCAACATTGGCCCTTATGTTCAATAACTCCTCTTCCTTTCTGGAGTTTATCCCTCTGATGTATTTAGAGAGAGCAATCATTTCTCCTCTTAGCATTCATTTTGTTAGCCTCAACAAGCCAGGCTCCTTAAGTTTCCTGGTTCTCCTTTCCTCTTATCCTGGTAGCCCTTCTCTGCACCTATTCCAGTTTGAATTTATCCTTCTTAAACATGGGAACCCAGAATTGCATCCAGTATTTCAGATGAGGTCTCACCGTGCCTTGTACAATGATTTTAACACTTCTCTTTCCCTACTGGAAATATCTTGCCTAATGCAATCCTCGGATGCATCAGCCTTTTTTCAGGGCCACATCACATTGGTGGCTCAGTCATCCTATGATCGACCAATACACCCAGGTCTTTCTCCTCCTTCATTACTTCCAACTGATATGTCCGCAGCTTACAGCAAAAATTCTTACAGTCCCTAAATGCATGAGCTTGCACTCTGCATTATTAAATTTAATCCCATTTCTATTATTCCAGTTTTCAAGGTCATCCAAACCTTCTTTTATGATATTCTGGTCCTTTTTCATATTGGCAATACCTCCCAATTTTGTGTCATCTAAAAATGTTATTAGTACACTCCCACTTTTTATGCCACGGTCATTAATGAAAATGTTAACTAAGATTGGTCCCAAGACTGATCCTTGAGGAATTCCATTAGTAACCTCCCTCTAGCATGCCAGTTCACCTTTCAGCATGACCAGTTACAGCATCCCCTTTAACCAGTGCCTTACTCATCATCTGATTCTCGTACTGATCCCTATCTTCTCCAATTTAACTAATAACTTCCCCTGTGGAACTATATCAACCACTTTACTGAAATCCAGATAGAGTACATCTATTGCATTTCCTTTGTCTACAAAACTAGTTATCGTCACAAAGAAAGAAATCAGTTTGGTCTGGTAGGATCTACCTTTTGCAATACCATGTTGTATTTTAACCCAATTATCATTTACCACTGTGCCTTTAACTACTTTCTCTTTCAAAATTTGTTTTAAGATCTTGCATATAATTAGGGTGAAACTAAGGGGCCTGTAGTTTCCTGGATCACTTTATTCCTTTCTTAAATTAGGTACTATATTTGCAGTTCTTCAGTTATTGAAGTCTGTTTTTATTGAAGTCTGTTTTAATATCAGTTTTATCCATTGCATGTTCTGAATTATGGCTTAATTACAGGAATAAGTAAAAAACCTGAAGAAATCTTTAAAAAATTGTATCTGATTATTTGCAGTTATCACCAAGAAAGTTAGGATAGACATTAATTACAAAAGGTAGCATGCTCCACTAGGTTCTGCTACTTCACTACTGTTTCTGCTGATCACCTTTTTGGACAGGTAGGATTTCAATATTTATGGTAAGGACAGGCCAACTTACTTTTACTCTTCTGTAAGAAGTTCTTGGAAGACATTTATCATCATCCTACAAAACAGACCACACACCACTTCAAAAATAATTCACAAAATGAAATAGGTAACAACTATTCAGACAAAGAAGCTGCCATTATAATTTATACTACAATGAAAATAGTAAACATACTATCTATTGTGATGGACATTATAGAAAACTGTCCAGTTAAGCTAGGAGTTCCAACAGTTCCTGACAAGCCAAGAGGGAAACATCAAAGGGGATACTGCAGCCTTTAAGGGGGACCCAAATTAGGAGTGACTTATTTAGGACCCTAAACACAAATCAATACTCAACATTCCTGGCCCCAGCATCATGTCCTGAACCTCAGTGGATGGATGATACTGGAGTCCTTGATGCAAAGGCACCCAGAGTTAGGGGTTTCAATGATACATCAGAGGGATGCTTGCACTCTTGGTACCTCTTACTGGATGCTTTTTATATAAAAAGGATACCTTATGACAAACCAGGGCTCAATACCACCAACTTTAAGCACTAAAGGGCATGAGAGACTCAGCAGATGAAAAATCTTACAGCTTTTCAAGTTTTGCCTGTCTAGCTCAGAAGCAAAGACGACCAGGCATGAAAATCCCACCAAAAGTAACTTTGGAGAAACTACTTACACTGTTTTTCATGGTTTAAGAGTCACTTATGGACTGAATTTCAGAGTTTCCCTGGACTTAGTCCACAATAGAGAACATGTGCCTTTCAGCATTTTAAAAAAAGTTTTGCTTAGGAATAAAAAAATGCTTGAAATGTCTTTTTGGTAAAAGTAGTGTACTATTTTTTAATTTTAAGTATACTACCAATATACCAAAAGGTGGCACTCCAAATGTACACATTCACTGTATGCATTCCTATCAACAGCTCATCACATTAAAACAAATGCATTAGACTACTATTCTCAAATACTGAAGTGAATTTTTTAGTTTCATATTGCATAATCAAATGCAGTAATCAATCATTTTCTCTTTTTTAAATAAAGAAAGCAATTCAGAGCAAAAGTATGAATGTAATTATATCAAACAGTAATGGCTCTCATCACATCTATAATTCTGTGTTCTGAACTCTTGGCATTATAATTTTTTAAATATACAATCATTTTTTACCCCAATTTAAAAAAAAAAAAAGATACCCGGAGTTACATATAATTCAATGAATAGGTCTTTTATATATGTATATACTGCACATTTAATAATAGGTATGGAGCAACTGAGCCACGCACATTTGGAGGAGGAGGAGAATTATACTGCACTTGACAACATAGTGATTTATCTGTAAAATGTACACTCCATGTGCAATATTATTTATTTACATGTAAATATCCATAACTCAACAATTATTGAAATACAGTTATGAAATATGGTATATCTACCTATACCAGATCCAAACATCCTCAAACTTTGGGGAAGTTCAAATAACAGACTGGGCCATTATATATATAGAAACTATGTATAAAATATATGGATATGTAGCAGGTATATTTCTATAACCAGACATTTGTAATTGTGGCATATTATAAAAGTATAGGTTTTAAAAAGTATTTAAAATTAGTTTTGCTGCTGCTAGTAACTAGATTGACAGTATTTCTTTATCACTGCTAATAAACTCCTACTTTGAATATTTGTTTAAACTAAAAACAGCAGCAGAAGCAACAACAACAAGAGTTTATTACCAGATCAGCAGCATCAAGAGAGTCCTGCTCATCTTCTGTTGTATTACTAAGCTCAAATATGTTTGTACAAACCGGATCACTGTAAAGTAGAATTAAAAGCTTTACTACGCGAATAATGGAAAAACATGCTTACCACTTTCTAGACTTTAAAACACATATGAACGCTGGAAAATAGTAATTTTCCAAGAGAATTTAAGGCTTGAAAAGGCACGCTTAAAGAAGGTATTTTAAGCTCAGTAAACAGGGTATTGGCAACATAATTTCATTAAAAACTCCTTTTACCAATTTCAAATGATTTCTGCAGAATCTGCCAGCTAATTCATATATTATAATATGCATCCATCTCAGCTTCCTAACTTTAGATTTATAACTGAATTTAGAATGGCCGGCTAGAAGTTTTTCCACTGAAAAGCAGGTGGCAGTGGTTGAGACGGGAAGGGATATAAAATGTTCTGAATTCTCTATTTAGGAAAGAATTTAGTACATGTTTAACAAATTTCTCTCAGGTCAACTAAAGCATTTTAAGATTAAGGCCTTGTCATCAGTAGGACAAACGGTAACTTGCTTTGCTTGGAACATCTCCATGCTAGATGGTTTACAAGAACTAGTTTGTTGATCAGCCTTTGGATAAGGTCTTTAATTCTGGTCTAGATAAAACAGGAGAGCCTACAGGTTTTCTATAGAGTGAAAAATAATATAAACTCTGAAATTCACCAGATCAGGCAGACTGATTAAAAGAGTAGAGAATACTTGTGTGTGTGACAGACAGTAAAACTGACTTACCTCTAAATGGCTAATGAAACTATATTCAGGGTAGATGGTGTGTGGTGTGCAGGGATGAGCAGAAACCTTTGCTTGCAGCTAAAAGTTTTCTGATGGACAAGTTCTATAGAAAGACCTTTCTCAAATCTTGAATATTAATAAATGCTGATTAAATCAGAGTGCTAAAAATGTCTTTGCTAGACATATCAAGATGCTTCAAAGTTAGTTTGATAAAGAGTTTAGGAAATATTTAGAACTTGAAAGTTTCTAAAGGCTTCAGCTATTATTCATTGCAAAAAAATAAAGAGTCAGCCAAAATTGAGAGAAATTCAAGTGCTATCTCCAACCCAGGTCAATGAAATGTGTATACAATTATATTCAGACTGAAATATGACTTACTCAATGAACTTTAACAGCTGTTTAGTGATCTTCTTAGCAGATCGAGCAATAGCACTCCGAGGTTCATTGAAGGTGCTGGCATTACTTTCAATACATCTGACTTCCCACACCAATGCAGAGATCCTCCTTTAAGATTATAAAGGAAATTAACATTCTTTAATACTAAAAAAAAAAAAAGGAGTGTAGAAAAGAAAAATAACTCTGTAAATATCTGTCCCTATTAGGTCTATTATACTAAACTGGCAATCCTTTAGTATAGAACCCCAGCTTAATCTCACTTAAAACAATTCATATGGAAAACAGCATAAAATATTCAGGGTTAGCCAGAGAAGTGGCAGCTGTAGGGGGGAAGGGAGGGAGACCTCAATATTGATGCAAAAATGATATTAATAAAATATTTTAAGTAGTTACTGTGACGAAGTGGGGGGTTTTCTTGTTTTCTGTGGAATTTCAAGGGTTTGCATGAGGAGGGGGTGGGACTCAGTTTCCCTGGGTGTTACTGGTTTAACGAGGTGAGGGGAGAGGGAGTGTGTTTTGCAGAGGACCGGAGAGAGGACGTGGGGACCCAGCCGGTGGCCGGGAAGATGGATACCCCAGCGATCGGTGACCTGGTGACCCAGAGGCCCAGCTGAGGAGACGCAGCCGGTTCTGGCCAGTGGGAGGACAATGGGCTGCAGAGTGAGGACCCAGTGACCTAACCAGCCGGTTCCAGCCAGAGGACAGAAGCAGGAGAGGAGGCCCCGGTTTACGACCCTGTTTACCTGGAGAGAAGACAATGGACAGAGGCGGGGCCTGGGGCCGGGGATCTCGGATGCCCAGCGGCGAGCAGGGGGGCTCTGGGCTGGAGAGGGGAAGCAGGTAGAGCCCACCTGGATGCAGAGAGACTGGAATGTGCTGGGCTGAGGGAGGCCAGGCCTGAGGGTCAGAGAGTTTCCTGTGCTGTGTTCAACTCTCAATAAACCCTCCTGTTTCATGCTGGCTGAGCGTCACTCCGGTCTAGAGAACAGGGTTGCATCAACCCCTTCGGGGGTGGAGGCCCCAGGGGTCCAGAGCGAGTGGACTCCCTGAGGGGGTCCACGGCAGAGACAGACGTGCTAAGGCTCAGAGAGGTGCGGCTCCAGGAGGTGGAGGGGCCGGACCCCGAGAGAGAGTGGATCCCCGAGAAGGGCTGTCTCACTAAAAGGGGCACCCCCCCACGGACTGCACGGGGCCAAGAGTGGGCACGATCTGTGAGTCCGTGACAGTTACCAACTTGTTTACACCTCTACTGAATATTAAGGTATAGTTGCAAGAATGTTACAGCCAGGATGATTGAAAACATAATATACATGTTTAGCTAATTATGTTACAAAATGTTGAAGCTAATCAAAGAAATTCCAGAGGGTTTCTGCTTCCATCTCCCAAGGATAGGCAAACATCAAGTAAACAAACCATGTAAATATTTTTAGGAAGAAACCCGATTATGAACAGAAGACTGTATGGTTGGGTTATCAGAGAAATAAATCCAGAGGTAAAGTTGGCCTAAATTCCATCTCTTCCCTCCCCACCCACCCCCCAAAAACCCCCACTTTTCAAAGAAAAATCTGATTTTAAACCCACACAACAAATTCCAGAAATATCCTTATTGAAATTGATTTATTTTGTCTTCGTTCTTCAGACTTGGACAACATTTATGGGGGGAAAACGTTTTACACAAGACACTGCTTACTTCCAACTCATGTTTCCACTTAAAGTTGAAAACCTTTGTTGTATCTCAAATGCTTAAGATGGTAAAAGCTTCTTTTAATGTATTTTTCCAACTATTTTGTATCAAAATGCATGCCTTCATATAATAACTGCCTGATATCATTGCAGTATGAATAGTGAGATGTTTTATATACAAATATAGCAAGGACATTTGATATTAGACTAATTACTAATGCAAGAAGCTATTTAAGCATAGAATATTTAGATTAATGAGGAATTAATTGATTACTGACAGTGGACAAGCAAACCCTCACCCAACGCAAGAGACAAGAAAATCATTGTTAGAAAAATTGCCATGTAAAGTCAACAACTTAGGCTAAAGACTTTCTAAGAGTTATATAACTTTAAAAAACTGTTCTGAGAATGAAAGACTCTTATATTAAGAACAAGATTGTTTACACTATTTGACAACAGAATTTCATTTCCTGTCAAATAAAAGGAAAAAAAATCTCAGAAAATGGACTGAATAAAAAGAAAGTTAAAACTAATTAAGAATTTTCTGGATCTTTCCTGCCACAAGAAGAACAAAGGCAATAAAGAAATGTTGCATATTCATTAAGCAGACTGCATATTCAGGAGCTCAAACTACCACCTAAACCAAAGCCGAAGGCATGAAGCCAATGAAAAGAGAGAGAGCAACCAACCTGAATCTAAGCAAGCATGAATGAGGTGTTTTCTTATAATTTCACAAAAGGAAGAAAAAGGGTATCAGTTTCTAAAGTGAGCACTCTCACTCCCTGAGATGCTGCTTAAACAGCAAACACTCTATAACTCATCCTGGCCACCTCTACAAGAAAGAAGAAAAAGAGAGAAGACTCAACAAGAAACCAATCCCAGGAAACCATCCCAAGACTTCAACATGGATTGGTGAGAGGAAGTTAAAGCCACTACCAAGGGATTAGATTTAAAACTCCTGTAATGATTTGCTGGAATACTGAAATGCTGTTGTAATTTGAAATACTAATAGTTTCTCCTGTTAATCAAGTGATTAGACTATGTATTCATGAGAAGAGACAGGGGCTAAACATTGGTAAACAGAGAAAAGGGGGATTCTATTAGATTTTAGATTCTTAATATTGCTTAACTGGCCTGTCAGAAGACAGCTCTTTAAATGGCTTCTTCTAAGTAACTGATTTAAATGTTTTCTTGGGCTTCATAAGCTGTTTTTAAGATTGCTTACTTTATCAACTATAAATTGGCTGGTTATTTATTAATAACCAACAGGTCCACATTCCCTGAAACAAAATTATTTTGCCCATCTATAAACATTCTTTGTTATCTAAGGATATACTAAAGAATGGATTCACAATAATTTTGGGAAACAATATACTTTGGTCTTAACTTACCAAGAGGAAAGCACACTTCTCAGGTGTTCAATATTGGGGCATAATCTCTGTCAAAAGCTCTCCATAGAGAGACATACAGAAGAGATTGTAATGGAAATAACCACTATCATTTGTGTTCAGTCATTTGTGCTGTTTTCTTTTCCTTTCTTTAATAATGAAATAGCCCTGGTTAATAACTGATTACTTTGCTTGGGCTTAAATGTTTGCTTGCTATCCCCTAAACAATGTAGAAGAATCCCTGTGAGTCAATAGTGGAAGCCACACTAATGAGTTGGCAGTAAGAGAAACAGCAGGAGCTGGTCTCCCATTTCTTGTTTCTCTAAACTAAATGTTTTTAGTAATTCTGAAAACAAAATTACTTGGCGTCCAACAATTTATAAGTACCCCTTTCTACATCACACATTAATCTTTTTTTTTCTCCCACCCCTTCAATATTGAGATTCGTGTTATTGCTAGTTAAGCATTTGGGATTTAGCATATTCCTGGCCTAAGTGCATATTTTTCTGAGCACTCTCCTGACATACTGAAATACTTTCATATTTCCCACAACTATCAGACTACACAATCATACATTGAGTGGAACACTTTCATGAGTCAGTTAAGTTGAAAAAAAAATACAAATAAAGATAAAACTACATTAAAATTAATTTGTATATGAAGTTTGTGTCCACCAGGCTCCTACGAGTTAGTCCTCAAAACCAACTACTTCTGGGGTAATATCCACAATGGCAGGCTTTTTTCCAGCTATCCAAAATATTGATGGCTCAGAATAAGCATTCTGGCACCCCCAGGTTCTGAAATCTCACTTGCATAGACACTACTGCATTTGGCCTGAGTTCCTTTGGAGGTTCATAAAGCTTTCAAGCCCATATATTATTTTAAAACTTAATGAGACCCATCTGAAGAGGATAAAAACCCTATTACTTAATTGGTACTGTATATCATATCAAATTCTATTTTGAGCCACACAGACCTGATGCCTCTTTTGATATCAGAGTACTGAGAATGCAGCATACAGAAAACTTATGTATTTTGTTATCTTAGTCACCTCTAAAGAAAGAAGGAGCGCTATTCCAAAAGAGACCCCACACACACACAAAAAAAAACCAGCAGAAAAGAAAACGAATGAAAAATATTGTCAAAATATGACCTCTTTCCACATTGTCCTAAGACATAACTATCTCCAACTGGGTAATTCCCCACCTGCCTGTTAAGTTCAATTTTTGACTTTCCCCAATCTTTCATATTTCTATCCTCATCATCATCATGGCCTGAGAGGAAGGATTATTGAGTAAAGGTCCTTTGCAAGTTTGAAGAAACTGAGGACCCAAGTTATAAGCAAATGGAGGCGATGTGCTGCATGGCCATGTACAGGGCTTAATTTTAACACTTACTATTCCAAATCCTTATAGCTATTTATGAACCAAATTATAATAATTGGCAAATATATATTTACCACTTTATCCATAAATCTCAAAGCACTTCACAAAAGGTAAGTTTCATCCCCATTTTACAGATGAGGAAACTAAAATGCAGAGATAATAGGGGCCTGATTTGCAGAAGTGTTGGGCACGTACAACTCCCATTAAAGTCAATGGGTACTGCAGGCATTCAGCATCTCTGAAAACCAGGCCCCATGTATCATAACTAAAGCACTCTTAACATTGTCAAACACACCTACGCAACTTAGGTACCTAAGCCCCATTTTCAGAAGGGTTCAGAAGGATTTCAGAAGACATGAGACTCAGGCTCCTAAGTCACTTAAATGCCCAAGTCCCATTTTCAGAAATTTACCACAAATCTGTGACAAGCGTGGCACTTCAGAAATTCAGTTTATGTTACCTGACTGCTAGTCTTAAAAAACAGACATGCAGTTTTCATGTTCATTTATTCCAAAATAGCTCAACTAATTTTGTTTATAAATAATTTCAACCAATGTTTATAACTGTGATATCACTAGAAGAGAAAACAAGGAAATAGTATCTTTTTTTTTAATATTACAGTACTAATCACTTTTCAGATAATTATAAAATATTAGTATCTTTGCATTTATACAGTGCTATTCATTCTCACAGTGTTTACAAACAGAACATTTTCCCTTTTTGGTGCATTTTCCAAAAAATGTTTAGATCTTTGTAGGTCACTTAACTTGATGGAAACTTGGTGGAAACATAGTGAAGATAATGAAGTTTTCCTCCTTTCTACTGCTAAGGTAGACTAACCTGTAAAACCGGTTGATTAGTCTCATCCGAATAGTGCAAAGATCTGTTGGATAAGCTATCACTGTACAGTACTTTGGATATGTACTCAGATCAACTGGACCAGCAAAGGCTGCTGAAATGTCTGTCAAAAATAGTAATAATTCAGTTAGTTGAGCTAACAAATTCAAAGCCTGTATACATACGGATTTTCATACAAGCATTCATACTGTTATACTATAACCACTGTTAACAAAAACAGGTTATGTATAAACCTATGAACCGGAATACAGATTTGTGATAAAGGCCGTATACCAGGTTGCACACAACGACAGTACTTTAAAATCTTTAAAAAAGGATCAGCACTATGTCTCAGATACCGAATTATAAAAGTTTACTGCTATGAGAGCAAAGAACTGACTAATTTTCTGTGTTCTCACCAAGATTCAGAAGCTGATCAATGCCACTGATAATCCGTTCACATACTTCATCTCGAGATCTTTTCCCCCATTCTCCCTCTTGGGGTTTGTATAGTAGCTTCTCCATTTCTTCATAAGTTACAGAAACACTAGCTCCTAATTCCTCAGGTTGATCAACTATAGTTTTATAGTAAATGGGGAAGATGAGAAAAGAAAGAACAAACAAAAGAATAAATGAGAATTTAATAAACTATATGCTAGCCAGGTTTGACGCTATGTAAATTCTTGCCTAATCTCATAAAATGGGGGGTTTGATGTTTAGGAACACAAAATGTCTTTAACCTTTCTTTGTTGCAGATGAGTTTTCAGAATACTCTGCCATCTAATGTAGGAATGGCCAATTTTGTTTTTAATGCACAAAATTGTATATAAGTAGCTGTTAACATTGCTTGCATTTACAGACTGTCTGTTTAAATTTAGGCCTGATGTCCACTAGCAAAAGATGCACGTATTTTTGATTACACTACACCATACACCATTGATAGTCCTAGTGCAGCTGTACCATTTTTCTTCGCACAGTAAGGCTAATTGAGCGTATAAAGAACTCACAATATGCAGGGTAATACCACGTGTTCCATGGGATAATAGAAAAAGGATTAGTCAGACACATGGCTGCTGAGCACATCCACAACTACACTATAGAGGAATAAACAAAATTTCAGTGAGCTTGGAAAGGAAGCCAATTCCTAACTCAGGGGATTGGGAAGAAAATTCCCTTTGGGGTGGCTATTGCATGACTGCCCTCTTCAAGATTTCATGAACTTTCCCTCTGAAGCATCTAATACTTAAAAATGACAGTGGCTGGATTAGATGGACCACTGGTCTGATGACCATTAAAACTGATTTTGATTCTAGTAGTAACCTTAGATATACCTTAGTTATTTATTATAAGGTTTTGCTGACTGCACAGAGTACATATTTCATTATATTTGATTATCAACCTGAGTTGTGTGGCAGGAATCTTGGCACAAGCCAAGAAGTTTAGAATTTTTAAAATGTCAACCTTAATTAGTTCAACACACCTACAAGAAAGCAGGAAGAAAACAGGGCTCTGATGCAGAGCAATTAGCCACTGGAACAATTTACCACGGGTTATGGTGGATTTTCCATCACTGATCATTTTTAAATCAAAATTGGATGTTTTTCTAAAGGATATGCTCTAGGAACTATTTTGGGGAAGTTCAATGGCCTATGTTATGGAGGAGGTCAGACTAGATTACCACAATGGTCCCTTCTGGCCATGGAATCTATGAATTACAACAAAAGTTACAAAGGCTCCTTTGCAGAAAATTGACAACAGCCACAGGATTCTATGCTTCATGACTGGTTCCACTTGTGTCCCTATTTGTTTTTAAAATAGAATATACATTTTGATCTATAGGAGTACTTAAAAGTTTTGTGATCTACATACTTCAGCCATTTCCCTTCCCCACAAGTGATTTTGAGGAATGGGGGGGAGGGGGGAGAATTTATGGAAAAAGACATGGAATAGTCCAAAACTAGCCTAATATCCAGATTCGGAGATTTTAAAGTGAAAACAAATTTCCTCCTTCCACTTTCATCCTCTCAAAACCAGTTTTAATGGAAACTATCAGATCTTTAACTGTAATAGAATATCTATGCCATTATATCAATTCCACCCTTAAGATCATATGAAAAATGACAGTGTCCTACAATAATAAAATAAGACTATACTCAGGTACTATGGTAACAGGGACCATATAAGAAAATATCAAGACTAGTATTACCACTTGCATGAAACAAATGATTTTGGAGATAGACAAGAGGATGAGAGGCTTTTAATTCATTTTCACATACCATTATCAGGAATTGGCTCCATGTCCCATGGGCTAAGCTTTTCAATTTCACCGTTGTCCCATCTGTTTAAACAACAAGCAAATTAACAAAAAAGTTAAACTATGTTCATGTATAAGTGTTTCCCTGCAAACAAATGTAAGGAATTTTTCCTTTGATTTTAAGCATAACTAAATTTGCAATATAAATATATAGGAAGGAGGGAGCAAACCAAGCCCTCTTAGAGGCAAATCTACTGCAAACTTAGTTTGGTTTAAAAGCTTTAAATTACAACAGTGCTCCTACTCCAGGTAATGCTTAACTGATCTCCTACTATATCAATGAGAAGACAAAGAAAATGTCTCTCTAGGTTACAAACCAAGAACATTTCAAACAAAATATGTCAAAAGCACACACCAGTCTGAAGCTTATGTCAGAAAATTTCACAAGGTATTTAAAGTAAACAGAAGCGAGCACCCAGGAAATACTGGAAGGTTTGAAGGAAAATTTGCAACAGCTTTGCTGAATAGTTAAAATTCTGAATCAGCAAAGCCAACAGCAATCAGTTTACCTACTTTTAAAACATTTACATAGCACCATAAATTCACACAGCACTTTACAAACAGTTCATATACGCGCTGCTACAAAGAGTTTACACTCTAAATAAGACACAACAAACAAGATCAAGGTACTAGTACACAAAAAGGACAGTGCAAATATTCCTGTCAATGGAGGAGGATTGTTTTAAGAAATGGAAGTACAGAGGGATTTGGAGGAAGGCAGACCAAGAAATGGGGTGTTTGGTAGAGCACAAAGACTGTTGCGGTCATGGGAGCAGCATGCTAATAGCACAAAGTAAAAGGAAAAGAAGAAATAAAGTGATAGGATTGGAGGCAAACAGGGAGAAGACGGAAGCAGTAGTTAGTCTGGTTCACATCGAATAGTATATTCACTTAATTGAATATGAGAGATTAATTTAAATTCCTGCAGACTGTATAGTTTTTTTTATGCCTTGATTAGCAATGTAATAGCTAACAATGTTGATTTTAAATTACCATAGTTAGGTGTTGTAACCAACACCCATTTAGCTGAACACGGCAATCTACAATTCTCAGAATTATTTTAAGCTGTCTGCAGACTTAAGCAGACATCACTGTTCAGTTTGCACTCCGTTTGTTTGAAGGTTTACTTTGCAACCATAGAAGCTATAGACTTCTTAGGGCTTGCTTACTCAGTTTTTGTACCAATTTAATTATATTGGTTTAGAAACCCCTAGTATGGATGCAATTATACCAATACTTAAGTACATTTATCAGTATAACTTATTTCAGTATAAGCTCTTTATATATTAGGGTTATATTGGTTTAAAAACCAATGCCAGTAAAACAATACACTTAAATTGGTACGAAAACTGTTTAGACCAGCCTTTGGGAAAAGCACTGTCTACTTATAGAACTTTCAACTGTTTTACATCTATGTGAATAATATGGAACTAACTTGTGATATTTATGAATACTATATGCTGGTTTGGTTATTGAGATGCTGTTTACTTTATGAATTATTTTTTTTTTTAAACTCAGAATTGTCTGGATTCAGGCATGAATGGGAAGAATGGCTCAACACAACTACCTATCAATGAACACTTATAATTTAAGGGACAATGCCAGAGCTACTGCCTTTGGTGACTGACTGTCCAGTCTACAAAATTGGATTTTACCAAGAATGACTGAGGCCCCGCAAACACAAGGGAACAAAGCTCATCAAGTGTTAAAAACATCTGGGGTGGGGGAATATCAGACAGACGCAGGAGCCAGTTGGGGCTGTCTGGAGAAGCCATGCCTGTCTAGGTCTGCATCATGGAATAGGAGGACTTCAGGTAAGATAGACATGCACGTAGATTGTTTTAATATCCTTTTTTCTCTAAAACTTTGCTCTGACTGCTAAAGAAACGAGACTTTTATTTTAATAAGGTTGTTTGGTCACAAGCTCCTGAAGGGAAGAATATCATATTCTCAAACCCAGGAACACCTGTTAATGACCTTTGATACAAAGGGTACTGTAACTAGCTCCTGGTCTAAGAATGGGGAAATTGCAAAATTCCACCCCAAACACAGGTAAAGACACAAAGCTTAACACCTGAGGGGGGCATACTCAGAGATCACAAATGGACAGAGGTGCAGCTCACCCTATAACTAATTTTTTTTAACTGATTTAGTTAAATGGATACAAAGTTAAGTTGGTATAAACCAGATGTAAACAGATTTTAAAAAGCGTCCACATGTAGGAGTTTGCATCAGTTTAAAACTGTCTTTAAAATCTATTTAATTAAACTGAAGCAACTTTCTTAGCTTCCCAGATGCCGAACACAAGACCCCATATCCAAAAAACCCCACTATTAACTTGCCAAGCTACCATGAGCTGGTCCAATTCATCCCATGGTGGTCTACAGAGGACAAGTATAGTCACACAGCAATTTCAGCCACTTTGATATTGCTGCATTTCTCCTCTGCTATTAGCCTTTTGTAAATAAGTGGTATTTCAAATGAAGAACTGGGGGTCGGGGGAAAGCAGGGTTTCAAAGGCCCATAAAGAAATATAGGTAATTGCAGATCTATGGAGCCGATGGATATCATGGACCCTGCATTCTGTGGTCTGGCATCTTTAATGGATTGAAGGGTACACTAACCACATGTCAAATTATGGTGCTGCTGTGAGGCCCCACTAATTATTTGTGCATTATACATCTGTTGATACTACTGGCTACTAATCTGGTGTTTAGTCAAAGCAAAAAAGTAGCTTGTGGGCAGAGCTGGGGACAGAACCACCATTTCTCTGAACATTTTGACCCATTATAACAGTGATTTAGCTGCATATACCTTACTGATAGCAGAAAGAACAGAAAGTTTAGAGGAGCTGAAACAGCATGCAAAGATGATTAAATAAAAAGACAGAACTGCTAACAGAGCAGGAAATTTCCTTTATGGATAGAAGCACAGGCTCCTTTTGAGTATAAGAAGTGACAGAAGATTTTTGTATGCAGCACATACATAACTGCATAGCTGATTAACATGCATGTAGCTGGGTAAAGCAGAGCTGCTCAAACCTTACCCTGTTGTAAGCTAGCACATACATTACAGATTTAACATGGTTGTAGTATGGAGGGGGAAGACAGAAATGAAGGCTGACAGCTGTAGAGTCTTCTCACATATGTTGCAAATGTCACTGAATGAGAGACCAAAAAGCAGCTCCATACACTAGTCCTTCCCAAGAACAAAAACTACTGCAATGATAAAGGAGGCTGACTAGCACATGACAAACATATTTTGGATTTTAAACTACACGGGAATCAATATTAAAATTAAATACTTTGAGATGTACTTTGCTTCCAAAAATATTTTTATTTCCATATCTGCCACTCAGTGGGTTTGCACACTACATACCATTTTACATATTAAAATTAAGTTTAAGAATATATATGAGCATATCTTAGTCAATTTTGTTCCAGAGCCAATATTTGAATATTAATACATATAAAGCTGGCAAGATCTGTACAGAATGAATACAGAAACTAAACATTTCCATGCCCCAGTACAAACCCACAAATATTTAAATCCAAAATAATTAATTTCCATTGTGTTAGTTTGGACTACTGAAGCTGTGTGGTTTTTGTTGTTGTTGTTTTTTAAAAGACATCTTCCTTGGCTGTTCCATGGAGAAGATTCAGTAACCCATAATTTGTAAGTTATTACAGAAAATAGGAGGTTCCTCTCTTTCACAAATATAGAATACAATTTGTGTTTAGCAAGTTACTATTCATGAAAAAGTTACTGCATTTTGGCAATACATTCACATAGTGCTTAAGAGACGGTTTGCTAACGGAGCTTTAGGTTTTCAACCAACAACATTTTGTGCATTCTTACACCTACAGCCCACCAATATAAGCCATGATTTATACTGTGTAAATAAACATTTTAAAAGCCTCTGTACTTACTTAACACTGTAACACTGAAAGTGACTATCTGGATACTGTGGCTGATATGGCTCTTGACCCAACACTGTTCCAAACCACCAAGCATCGTCAATAATGGATCGGAATCTATCAACTGTAAGAGAAAGAACCATTTCCCCACTCAGATACATATTCTGTTAACCAAAAGATTTTAATTACACTGGTCTACAATTTTTGAGAAGTCGTCTGCTTCAGAGATAAAATGTGCTATTTATTATGTATTTTGATGTGCTGAATTCAAATATGACAATTAAAACAACTGATTGGCTACTGTTTCTAAGATGTTTAAGTTTTTAAATTTTATGTCTATGTATATTGTGTAGATAGTAGAGTTTTAATCATAAATTGTAAACCTAGGTCTTTTCATGTGTTTATGGTTGCTTTACATGATATTTCACCTGTCCTGTTTATGTAACACTTTAAAAATCAGCCAAAGGGTTATATAAATAAAATTTATTATGAAACGAAAGGCAAAAAACTATTATGTACGTAGTTTAGTCCTATTCAGTGTCTACTTGGAGCTTCTTGGCTTGTCTCTTGTATTCATTAAATGGAGCATCTCTTGTCACTGTCCAGCAATAGTCTGCAAGCATTGATGGGCTCCATTTGCCCTGATAGCGTTTCTCCATTGTTGCAATGTCCTGGTGAAATCGCTCGCCGTGCTCGTCGCTCACTGCTCCGCAGTTCGGTGGAAAAAAATCTAGATGAGAGTGAAAAAAAATGTATCTTTAGTGACATGTTGCAACCAAGGCTTTTGTATGCCTTGAGGAGGTTTTCCACCAACAACCTGTAGTTGTCTGCCTTCTTGTTTCCGAGAAAATTTATTGCCACTAACTGGAAAGCTTTCCATGCCGTCTTTTTCTTGCCACGCAGTGCATGGTCAAATGTATCATCTCGAAGAAGTTCATGAATCTGAGGACCAACAAAGACACCTTCCTTTATCTTAGCTTCACTTAACCTTGGAAATTTTCCACGGAGGTACTTGAAAGCTGCTTGTGTTTTGTCAATGGCCTTGACAAAGTTCTTCAACAGACCCAGCTTGATGTGTAAGGGTGATAACAAAATCTTCCTTGATTCAACAAGTGGTGGATGCTGAACACTTTTCCTCCCAGGCTCCAATGACTGTCGGAGTGGCCAATCTTTCTTGATGTAGTGGGAATCTCTTGCACGACTATCCCATTCGCAGAGAAAATAGCAGTACTTTGTGTATCCAGTCTACAGACCAAGCAAGAGAGCAACAACCTTCAAGTCGCCACAAAGCTGCCACTGATGTTGGTCATAGTTTATGCATGTTGTTTCATGTTGTCATAGGTTTCCTTCATATGGACTGCATGACCAACTGGAATTGATGGCAAAACATTGCCATTATGCAGTAAAACAGCTTTAAGACTCGTCTTCGATGAATCAATGAACAGTCTCCACTCATCTGGATCGTGAACGATGTTGAGGGCTACCATCACACCATCGATGTTGTTGCAGGCTACAAGATCACCTTCCATGAAGAAGAATGGGACAAGATCCTTTTGACGGTCACGGAACATGGAAACCCTAACATCACCTGCCAGGAGATTCCACTGCTGTAGTCTGGAGCCCAACAGCTCTGCCTTACTCTTGGGTAGTTCACCTTGTGTTATGAGGTGTGGTTCAGAGGAGGAGGATGGGAGAAAATGTGGGTCCTGTGACATTGATGGTTCAGGACCAGAAGTTTCATCCTCTTCCTCTTCCTCGTCTGACTCAAGTGAGAATGATTCTGGTGCATCAGGAACCGGCAGTCCTTCTCCGTGGGGTACTGGGCATATAGCTGATGGAATGTTTGGATAATGCATAGTCCCCTTTTTCTTCTTTGACACACCTTTCCCAACTGGAGGCACCATGCAGAAGTAACAATTGCTGGTATCATCTGTTGGCTCTCTCCAAATCATTGGCACTGCAAAAGGCATAGATTTCCTTTTCCTGTTCAACCACTGGCCAAGATTTGTTGCACAAGTGTTGCAGCATATGTGTGGGGCCCACCTCTTGTCCTGATCTCCAATTTTGCAGCCAAAATAAAGGTGATAGGCTTTCTTAACCATAGTGGTTATACTGCGCTTTTGTGATGCAAAAGTCACTTCACCACAAACATAGCAGAAGTTATCTGCACTGTTCACACAAGTACGAGGCATCTCTGATCACTTTGGCTAAACAGAAATGTGTCCCTTTGCAAAATCAAACACTGACAAATAAGAGAGCACGACACTGTATGATTTCTAGAGCTGATACAGGGCAATTTGTTCAGCAGAGTGATGTAAGCTTCGTTATGATTGCATCATCCATGACTTCTAGGAATAACATGATGCAATTCATATCATGTATGACGCAATACCAGCTTCAGATTGCATCATTCATTGTTTTGCCTAAAAAGCAAGTACTGTCCAAACCCAGTCATAGATTTATTCATAGATCCAGTCAAAGATGTATTTTAGTCATATCTGGTTTAAATTGAGATCCCTTCCCTTTATAACTCACTTATCCTCCGCCATTCCCAAGTCAAGGGTCGTATATACTGGCCCAATAGCATATCTTGAAAACTAGAGCCAATCAACAATTTTAAGCATCCTTTTCGTTCTCAGTGACCCAGAATTAGTAAAGTTTGACTACATTTATTTCAGAAGCATTTTGGCTGTAGAGCAGTGTTATGTTTTGTGAGGATGGAATTACCGGGGAGGAAACTAATGAATAGACTCAGACTCTAAGGTTAGAAGGGACCATCATGATCATCTAGTCTGACCTCCAATAGTATATTTTGGTTTAAAAGTATAAATATCTACTTTAAAAAACAGACACTAGATAAAAGAAAAATAACCTACTACACAAAGTAATGTACATTATCATTCACAGTAAGCTCTAAAATCCAAACATATACTAGCATGCAAATAACAAGATGTTAATATGTTTCAGTGTAGAAAGCATGCACCACTAAAGGTGCTGAGTATTCTACAATATATAAAAACTTGTATGACTTCAACCACAATGGAGGCAAATGCCTGAAAAAACAGATAAGCCTTAACACTATGAATTGAAGACCAGACCCTGGTTCTAGCATACCAAAGAGTTTAGGAGGCAACGAACTCCATTTCATAGTCCAGGTCTCTCCATCAATGTCTAACTCCAGCATTCAGATGTTCAAATCTCTAGAAACTGTTTGCAAAAGGGTCTCAGCTGACCTCAAGTGCAACAGTGGAGCATTTGATGGTGGAGAGTTGTTGGAAGTCTCTGATAGTCAGGACACAAGCCACACAGAGCCTTTTAAATCAATGTCAACACAAACGAATTGTACATAACATTCTCAGAAGCTAGCCACAATGGAAAATTTTTGTATTCTAAAACTATATTGCCAGACACTTGGAAGGTGAAGACTTACAAGCTTGCCAATTCCTTTGTCGTGCTTCATCATAAAACTGACGCAATACAAGAAAGTCAATGACATCTGGCATATCATGGTATCTAGATAAAAAATAAAATTAGCTTTCATTTGTGTGTCATATTATATTATGCTATGTTGTGTAGAGGAAAAAACTAAGAAATGGGTCTTTAAAAATTTTTTTATCTAGCATACGCTTTCAGCAGAGAAACACATACTTGAGAGAAAACGATTTGTCTGAAAGTTTTCCAGTGGCATGGTCTATAAAGGCAAGCTTCAGGCAACACAGTGTAGGAGGACCAACTTCATATCGTATCCCAACAATTTTTACCAATTCTTGATCCTATAACAAACAAAAATGAAAGCAACAAATCCCATTAAGTTTCAGCCCTATGCTAGAGGCACAATCTCTAGTTTAGTTTTATTACATAAAATATCTGAATAGTTTTAGCCCTCAAAAAGCCAATATTGTTAAATACTGTATATGAGGTTTTATTGGGAGACAATCAAATCCTTACATAGAGTCTGTACCCTTTTTAAAGATCAAGATTTATGTTTTTATTTCAGTGAAGTCCAGGCCTCCCATGGGCAATTTTGAAGGTTTCTTTGATGACTGAAGAAAGCTTTCTTCCTCCTTTATGTTGGTAGGAAAACATTAATGGGAAGTTACCTAGCTAAGTCCTCACTAGTTATATTTATACAAAGAATTTAAAATGCTAATGTAAACTGTTAAACACACATTATCAGTATTGAACATGTAACAACTTCAATATATTCTTACCCTAAGGACCATTTTTCTCCATGGCTCCTTGTGGGGGTTCAGTTCATAAATATTATTTTTTCTGACTGCTTCAATATAAGCTTCATGACCTTGTCGAAAATATATTACCTGTAAAAATAAAAATCCACCAAATAATTATTTACTTGAAACACTAAAGTACATGTTTTTCTATATTTAGTGCCAGTTGCTATATTAACTTTTAGTTAATCTAAAATTTTATAGCACTTTTTGATAAAAGCTCTCACCTCATCTCCCATTTGGGGAACAAAAGGAGATTTTCGAAGTGCTGTGTCAGTTATCCAAACAGGAGGATGGTAGTCATATAACACATCTTCGTTTACTGGCTGTGTGGGAGTACTATTCTGCACATTCTGATAAACAGGATAGTTATACATTAGAAATTATGTTCTTGGTGCAGTGTCATGAAAACTTGTTATCCAAGAATTTCTTCTAAAGTCTACACAAAATTAATACCATGAAACAATAATAAATTAAGCTCTATACAAGACCTTAAGACCAAAAATCTCCTAAAGCCCACATTTTGGTACTCAAGTTTGGTATTCTGGTTCTTCCTATATTTGCAGTTCTTCCATTGTCATCATTAAGTAGGTCAACCACAAAGTATTCTACTCCCAATAAACTTGTAGGGCACAGTTCTCTCAGAGCTGCATGGTAGTTCTTAACGTGACTGTCAAAAGACTTGTCTAATTTTTGAAACTACTATTCTATTGTGCACTGTCTGGCAACTACATATTACTTTATTAAACAGAAAACCTTCAGACTATTTAAATGTATACCAAGTGTAGCTTAAAGCAAAGAAATTCCAAGTTATTATGTATCTGCCACTTCAAAACTAATATTCAGAATCAAAGGTGATTATATAATCAAAGTAATTCTTTGAGAAAAACAGACTTACGTATAGATCATCATACATTTTATATTGTATGACATCATACATTTGAAAGGCACTCTCTGTTTTACCACCAGTCCCCTGGCTACAAGAGTTGCAGAATTGCCTGAAGCGCTTAAAGATTCCAGTTCTCCACATTATTACAGAATGCTATTTTCCACCACTTTAGAATTTACCAAGGAATTCAGGGTAAAATTCCCCCTCTGTGCAGAGGGCCAGCACAAGGCCTATAAACCATTTAATACTTGTGCTGTTTTGAAGACTTAAGTTGTTTAAATGAATGATTATTTACATCCCTTTGGTGATAGGGCTGAGGTTCTAACCAGTTATTTTCTTTAATTTATTAAAAAAGTTCCTATCCCATATCAAGTATGGTGAACCATGTGATGTTTGACTAGGAGAATGTGACTTCACTTTGGATGCAGAATTTGCCCTGGTTATTCTAGGCCTGTTGAATTACTACAGTGCATTCTCTGTGAGGCATACCTTTAAAAGATTCAGAAAGTGAAGCTGGTGCAGAATGCAATCACCTGTCTATTAAGCAGTACAGTATGCAGACAGTCTTATCTGCCTTTAAACTCTCTGGAAACTTATTCGCAGCCAGTAAAGTGTTGGTTTTAAACAATAAAGCTTTAAATGGTTTGGGAGCTGGTTACCAAGGAAGACACATCTGCTCTCTAACGTAATACTACTACAACTGTAATCAGTGGAGATGTCAGAGTTGGAGTCCCCTCAATGTAAAATAAAGACATTTTGTAGAAGAATTAAATTCCAGAGTCACAGGTCTCCCAAACCCAGATTTCTGGCCTTCTAGGCATCCGACTTTTCAAATGGGCACTGAGAAACAGTGGCAAGCTTATAAGAGTGGATCAGCTGGATATGGAAAGGTTTGTGTTGAGGATATTAAATGGCAGTTCAATTAATTTGTTTTTAGATGTTTTTGTATCAAAAACTTTTAAAATTCAGAAAAGCACCAAAAGTATTCTAAAATCTAAACAAATAAAACCCTTAAATATGTGCATTCCTTGCTTTTGTATTCAAAGCTGCTATAAAAGTGGTAAAGGGTAAGAAAAACCATCTGTTTGGACCCCATAAGAGTGCGGAGGCTTTAGTTACCTGTTGTAAAGCAAAGTCCATAAAATGTAATTAGACAATGTAATGTTGCTGGGAGGGGGGAATTTTTGAAAAGGGGAAGGAGCCCAAGGTTAACTTTAAGACAACCATAGTTAGTAATATCACAAACACCTCTGCCTAATACGGAGGTAACGTATACAAACTCCATAAACTTCCAGGTACAAGAGATTTAAAACATAAAAAGAGATATCGATGAAGAATTAAGTGAATAGAAGGAATTAACAGTATAATACCTCTTCCTGCTTTTTCGGTTTCGGTTTTTTCCTTCTTTTTCTTCTCCTCTTTGGAGGAAAAGATTTCTCTGCTGATACTTCATCTTCTGAAGTACTACAATATCTGATAGCTTTGCGTCGAGATGTTCGTACAGGAGGCTTGAGATTTATCCCTGCATCAGCTATCCAGTCAGAATATCTACTTGAAGAGTCACTGTTCATGGGGAAAATAATGGAAACAAATGGAATTTAGATATTCAAACAGCTGACAATTAGTTAAGAATGTTAAATGAATTCTAACAATATTTGTAGATATAAAGTTCCCTTTCCACTGTCCAGTTCTTCAGTGGTTTTGGAGGTTGTCAGGAGGAGTAGAGGAAGGTTTAATTGCTGCGATACATTTCAAAAGAATTTCTAATTCCTTCACTTTGGCTAGCATTTTAACTTATGGCACTAATTCTTCAGTCACTAGCATGCAACTATGACATTTTTGTCCTTATAGAAATTCTGTACAACATTTAATGTGTTCCTTTACTGTATTTCAGAAGCAGGATTCCAATAAATAGGAGCATCCTGCCTACTCATAGGCAACAGAAGATACATACTTTCAGACATCTCTTATTTCATTGACCGTTTAAAAAACAAAACACTTTCCTTTTCTAAAAGACATGCTAACCATAGCTTATTATTGTTAGACAGGATTCCAACAAAAACAGCTGTAACTTGGCATGGACAGTCATCCCTGAGGATGAGAACAGTTTTGAAAAAATTATGTTTGATTTAACGAAGTTTGAGAATCAGAATATGCCACACTAAATATATGCAAATTTTTATTAAGCTTATAGGCACAGACTTTAAGATATGCAGTGCACATTGTGTGCAGCTAACTAAGTGCATACTTTTGAAGACAAGTCTGCTGTTATCAAACATTTATAATTGTTAAACTATGGATTTCACGACGGCTTAGAAATCAGGCCAATTTAGAAGAAGTTTGGATTAGTAGTAAAAAGAAACAGTTACTTACAGCAACTGCGGTTCTTCAAAATATGATGCAGCCGTGTATTCCAAGTCTCGTGCTCCGTGCACACTGGAGCACGAGACTTTTGCCTAGCAATACCCATAGGAGGGATGGTGCTCATGCCTGTAGCCCTTTCCTTGGCTATCTGAGGCAGCACCGCTCCGACCCCCCCCCCCCCATTCCTTTACACCGAAAGCCCAGGAAAAGACACCAATGCAGAGGGGATGGAGGGTGGGTAGTGGAATACAAGTCTGCCTCGCATCACAAAGAACCACAGTTACAGCAAGTAACTGTTTCTTCTTCGAGTAGATGCAGACATGTATTCCAAGTAGGTGACTAGGGAGTAGTACCTCCATCCAGAGGCAGGGCTCAGTCTACCTGAGCAAGGATCGCAGGACCACTCTTCCAACATTATTGTCCGCTCTGGAAGAAGTGGTGATCACACAATGATCCATAAATGTATGCACGGACGACCACGTGGCTGCCCTACAGATGTCCAATATGGACATGTCATTTGGGAATGCCACTGACATTGCCTGTCTCTGATCAAATGTCCCCATACCAGCTGAGGAGGCATAGCCGATGCTATCTCATATGCAGTCTTAATGCAATACATTAGCCATCTAGAGATGGTCTGCTCAGAGACAGCTTGTCCTTTCATACCGTCTGTACGTGATATAAACAGGTGAAGTGAAGCCCGAAATTGTTCAGTCCTGTTCAGATGGAAGGATAGACAGCATCTAATGTCAAGGATATGGAGGCGTTGTCACTCCATGGAAGAATGCAGCTTAGGGAAAAATACAGGCAAATACATCGCTTGGTTCAAATGAAACAGAGACCACCTTGGATACACACATTGGGAGTGGCTGAAGCGTAATTATGTCCCTGAAGAACTGAGTGTAAGGAGGCCCAGCCATTAGGGCCTGTAACTAACACACCCTCCTGACAGAGGTAATGGCTATCGAGAATGCAGTTTTCTGACACAGAACAGGCAGCAGACAGGAAGCAAGGGGCTCGAATGGAGGCCCCATTAGAGCCGCTAAAACAGTGTTCAGGTCCTACAAGGGATCCGGCTCTCGGACTGGAGGATGCAGGCGGAGGAGCCCTTTCAGAGATCGTGTCACCTTGGCACTGGAGAAAACCAATTTCCCTTGGGTAGGTGGATGAAACACTGATATTGCTGCTAAGTGCATTCTCAGACAATTGAGTGCTATGCCCAATTCCTGATGATGTAACAGGTACTCTAAGATGTCCTGGATGGAAGCCTCTGCTGGATGGGTCCCCATGGGCCAAGGACCATATGGAAAACCTCTTCCATTTTGCCAAGTAGGGTGTTCTAGTAGAAAGCTTCCTACTATTAAGTAGGACCTGTTGTACGGCCTCCCAGCAACACCCATCCTCCTCATTCAGCCATGCCATAAAGGTGCAATGAGCTGATCACTGAATGCAGTGTAGACGTAGTCCTTTGTGAGGAGGTTGGGAAGAAGAGGAAGCAGCATGGAAGGCTGAACTGACAGAGTGAGGAGATCTGAGAACCAGTGCTGCCTCAGTCACGCCAGGGCAATGAGGATGAGTCTGGCTCAATTCACCTTCAGCTTGGTGATGACCTGGGGAAGGACCGGGATAGGAAGGGATGCATACAGCAGAGTCGACTTCCAGCTGCAGTGGAAAGCATCAGAGAGAGAACCCAGGATGAGTCCCTCTCGAGAGCAGACTAGGCAACACTTTCTGTTTTCCCTCGTCACAAAGAGGTCAATTGTGGGAACGCCCCATGTTGCGAACATCAGCCAAAGGACTTCTGTCTTTAAGGACCGCTCATGGTTGGGAAGAAAACTCTGCTGAGATGATCGGCAAGACAGTTCTTGACCCCTGATACGTGAATAGCTATCTGGGTGATGTCTCTTCAATACAGAACTGCCACATGTTGATTGCCTCCAGGCAGAATGATCTGGAGTGAGCTCCCCCTTATCTGTTCATATAATACATTGTGGTGGTATTGTCCTTAAGTATGTGAACCACTAAATGCCTGATCTGGTCCTGGAAAGCATAACACGCATTGTGGATGGCCCGAAGCTCCAACACACTGATATGGAGTAAGGCCTCCTATTCTGATCACAGATCCTGCAACCGCAGCAAGTCCAGATGCGCTCCCCAACCCAGAAGGGACACGACGGTAACCAATGACTTCGTCAGAAGGCTGAGCAAAGGGGACCTCTTGCCCACATTGCTCTGGTGGGAATCTCCATGTAAGGACTGCAGGACTGACGGAGGAAGGCGAACCAACCTGCCTAGAGAATGTAGGGCAGGGCGGTAAACCATCCTGAGCCACATCTGGCAAGGTGGACTATGTGCGGACATGCGGCCCAACAGGCTCAGGCACACGCAGACTGTGGTGGACGGTTGTGACTGCAAACTGAGGCACAGCTAGTGAATTGTCTGAAAGCAGTTGGTCGGCAGGAACACCCTTGGCCTCATGGAATCTAACAGGGCCCCAATGAACTATTTGGGGAGTGGAAGTGGAGGTCAACTTCACGGTGTTTAGATTGAGACCCAAATGGTCGAGTAAGCATAGTGTGGTGTCGGTGTGGGCGAAAACCTCCTCTCTGGAGCTGCTTTCAGCAACCAGTCATCAAGGTAGGGGAAGATTTGGATTCTCTTCCTCCTGAGGTACGCCATGACCATTGCCATTCATTTGGTGAAAACCCAGGGGGCAGAAGAGAGCCCAGACAGGAGAACTGTGTACTGAAAGTGGCAGTCTCCTACCATTAAGCGAAGAGACTTCCTGTAACTCGGCAGAATGGCCACATGGAAGTAGGCATCTGCAAACTCCACAGCAGTGAACCAGTCATTCTGAGACAAAACAGGGAGGATAGCTGATAGAATGACCACACAGAACTTCATGTGCTTGATGAATTTGTTGAGTTCACGGAGGTCAAGGACAGGCCTCATCCCATCCTTGGATTTCGGTATCAGGAAATATTGGGAGTAAAACCCGCAACCATGGCATTCTCACAGAACCTCCTCCACCACTCCCAATGCTACCAGAGAGCTGACCTGCTTGAAGAGCAGCATCTCATGATAGGGGCCCTTAAAGAGGGATGGAGAGGGGGTGTGGGTGTGGAGACAAATTGGATGGCGAAACCTGATCTGACAGTGCGTAGGACACAGTGGTCAGACATTATCAAGACCCAGGCATTGTAAAAGCGGGACAGCCTGTCCCCAAAGGAACGGGTGGATGACAAGGGAGAAAACACAACAACTGCAACAGGACTCTAGACAACAAGTCAAAATGGGTGCTTAGCAGATGTCCAAGGAGGGTGTGCAGAGAGGCCAGGCCCCGAGCTCGAGTGCTTCCTCTTGTGAGACTTATCCCTCCTCCTGGGGTAGGCTCACGGTCTTGGGGGGAAGGGGTGCTGTGGCCTGTATGGCTGTTGTTGCTGCGCCCCGTAACGGTGTCTCTACGCAGGTGGCATATACACCCCCAGCGACCTTAGGGTAGCCCATGAAGCCTTAAAGGAATGCAGGGTTTCATCAGTCTTGGCCAAAAACAAGGTCTTATAATTGAACGGCAAGTCCTCAATAGCTTGCTGGACATACAGTGCAATTCCTGAGTTCTGGAGCCAGGAAGTCCTCCTCATAGTAATTTTCCAAGGCCATCGCCCTGACAAAGTGTCCATCACATGAAGGGCAGATTGCAATGACTTTTTACCACTAAGCAGCCCTCAGCAACAAAACAACCAAAATTCATCCTGGAAAGCTCCTTAAATTTGGCCATAGCCGACAAATTGAGGAAGTCATATTTGGCCAGCAGGACTTGCTGGCTTGCAATCCTCATCTGCAGTGATGATGAGATGTGTATCTTCCTGCCTAGAAGATCTAGGCACTCTGAGTTTCTGTCCTTGGAGGACGACTTGAATCTGCTCTGCTGAGCCCTGTCATTCACTGCTGTGACCACCAGGGAGTTCAGGGCCAGATGAGAATAAAACCCTTTGTATCTCTGTACTGGCACAAAATAGCTCTTCTCCAACCACGTGGCCACCAGTGATACCAAGGCGTGCCTCATTAATAGGGAGGGCCACTCTCCCAGGGACAGAGGACTGGAGAATGTCCACGAGTTTATGGGTAGTCTCCTGGAGAAACTCCACCTGAATATCCAGTGACAAAGCCAACTGACGTAACAGGTCCTGGTATGCCCTGAAGTCCTCTGGGTGGAAGGGGAGGATGAACCAGGCAAAACCGT